GGTTTAGAAGGCCACTCTTAATAGAAGGCCACCCTAAAAAGTTTGATCCGACGGGACACAAGAGAAAGCCATGCCCTTCTATTCTGGGGGGGGGTTTAGTTGCTTTTAAAAAAGTCACAAAAAATGATGTCGTTTCGGACGGAAAGAAAAGCTCTTATTTGATGACATTGTGATTTGGCTTAAGAGTTTTGCAATAACACCTACAAACATTTCATATATTCACAATAACTTTCGTAGTATTAAATTTCATTTATTTTTGAATTCAAATAAATAAACGACTTAAGAGCCATTTCATATAAGCCACGACCGACACTGCTCAATCGTATGTCACAGAAGTTGTTGAAACCGGTCATAAAAGAAAATATAGACATTTCTGAGTAAAATGGCGCTTTCCGTTTGAAAAATTATTGCCGTTCAAATGAGCGAAAGAACTGTTCAAAAGTTCTTTTCCAGTCAACTGAACTGAATTCAAATAAATAAAAGACTTAAATAGGTTAAATAATGTATTCGGCATCTTCATAGTTCTGTGGTCATCCTCAAAAAGTCCTTTAACCTTATCCACTGGATCAGGTTAAAGGACTCCTAGATATACTGTATGAATAAGCATTGACAGGTGCAGGTTGTTCCTATGAATAGACCTGGAGAAGTGTTAACTACGTCCTATGGATAGATCTTGCTATATTAGGCCAAATTACAGATCTTCTAAAGTCGACGTTCAGTTCGCTCGAAAGAACTGTTCGATCAGTTCAGCTCGTTCAAAACGAACTATTCGAAAAGTTCAGTTGACTGGAAAAGAACTTTTGAACAGTTCTTTCGCTCATTCGAACGGAGTTCGTGAACGTGAGCTGATGAACCCCTATAAAGGATTGCAGAATTCGATTCTGAACAACTTTTGTATCCAGAGTTTTGTTTCAAAATGCTTGCTTCGAGCGAAACTAACCGCAAGGTGGGGTAAAAAATCTTCGCTGAGCCAAAAACCAGTAATATTTTCAAGTTTTGAACATCAAGCGCTCCCGATTTGTAGAAGATACTTCGAAGTGTATGTTCGGAGGCTTTTTCGGGTTACTGAAATTATTTGACTGAGAAAAAAATTAATTACTTAAATGATATTGTTAAATTTTCGACTTACCACACTTACCGAGCGACCAGAAACGAATTCTAAAATGTTTAAGCTAGTCCACATTGTAGCTCGTGAATTTCTCTGTCAGATGAGGTATTGCTTGACTCTTTTCGTTGCGTTACTAATTTACAAATAAGACTTTATGCTCGTAGAGTGGGCTAAATTAACGTTAATTAGTACTAATTAGTCAATACCAAGAAGGAAAGAACAAAAAGTCTTGCATATTTCCTCGTAATAAATATTCTCCACACATTTCTCTATCGATCTAGGCAAGAACTAAGCTTTTGTGCTGAATGGAGGACGGACAAGAATTTTTTTAATAATAATCCCTTGTTCAAAAATTTAACAATATCTTTTTAAGTAATTAATTCTTTTCTCAGCCGAATAATGTCAGAAAGCCGAAAAAACTTCAGGACATATACTTCGAAGTGTCCTCTACAAACTGGAGACGTTAGAGAAAAATCTAAATGGGGATCCCCCCATAATGTAAATGGTCGTCCGACCACAACGGACGCATTCATAAAAGGGACGAATTTTTCTCTATCAAAAGCTGATATATTGTACCACCACATGATGTTTGTTTATGTAGAAATGTTTTCTAATTTTATTAAAACCAACCTTGACCCTACAGACGTTTTAGTTATGAGACTTGGTTTCTTATCAAAAAATTGCGAGGATTCACGAACTAATAGATGATATTTCATTGAGTCACAATCAACACAACTATTTTCTGAATTCCTGCTTTAGAGAAGCCGTAAAAATGATGATCAGAGCAAACGGAAGAACGATAGAATGTAAAGACCTTGATGTTTGCATAAGAGAGAAAATATATATAATATCTATCTTTTCTTCTTCATCTTATTCATTTTTTCTATAGAACTTTTTATTAACTCATATATATATATATATAACACCAAAGTACGCATTACCTGTGCTAATTAATTATAGATAATATATATATTCTATTATTAGTACTCTGCTGTATTTAAAATATATTAATGCTCTTATAGGCCTTTTAATAAGAGAATGTATACAATAAAATAAATATGCAATGATTAGGAAGACAAAGTACATAGAAATTTAAGATAAAGCACTGGATAATGTTTCACATGGCCACACAATACAAACATAAGCAAAGTATTCGATTTTATAAAACGAAATCAGGGAACGAAAAGAACAAATCAAACTCCTCGACAGACATACCAGAGATAGCGTTCATATTATTATCAACGAACCAAGAAAGACATTTTTGTATGACGGAAGTATAAGAAATAAAATGCTTTGAGCGATAGATACCACTAACAGTAAAATCAGCACAAAGCCACTGCTCACGAAAAATGTTTAAAGAACCAAAGGAACCCATCAGTGGAGCAAAAGAGAGTATTAATACATTTTTGCCAATACTAATAACATCGATTTTTTAGAGAAATTTCATCATACAAAAAAGGGAAAAAGACAGTCATTTCAATGCGTGCCACAAAAAACACGCTTTGAGCAAGTAACATAAAAATGAAATAATTCGTCTCTTTGACAAGCCGTAAGAAGAGGAAAATAGCAAAAAACCAAGCAAACAGAGGCAAGACATAGGTAGAAAACAGCATACTTCGAAATTGAGGACTTGATGTACTAAATATCTTGCAGGATGTTACTATTCCTATTCTTTGACAACTTTTGACCTTATAACCATCGAACCGGTACCTCCATTCACGTCCGCAAAGATTTCAATATGTGCGTCGTGTAGCTCCAGAACATTAGGGTCGCTTTTCAAAGAAACATGTGGGTCTTATGAGTAATCCAGATTCTTCAACTCATATGAGTGATTCTGATAAAAATAGTATCATTCGAATGATGGAAATGATCTCAAGCGTTTCTTTTCTGAGTCTTGATGACCTGTGGACTTGTTGCATATATTCATCAACGTTAGGCTTATAATCGCCGTAAGTACGACTTTTCTATGTTTAATCGTGAACGAATTATAAGCAAAACATCCACGTTTGACCGTTATTTTGATGTTGTCTTTCTGGTGATTCAGATACGTTTGGTTTTGTAAATGCTATTTTCTCTGTTATTTTATGTAGAGCAATATTTTTTTTCTCTCTTTCTTGTAGAATTTTCCTCGCTCTACTCAGTTACATCATTACCTTTATTACTGATTGTTCTGTTTTTTCACAAATTTGTTCAGAATTTATGATCCCGAATAAATCCTTTTTTCTGTCCCGTAACCGCATGATCTTTGATAGCTCTGGTAAGTTATTCAATTTGCCTTCTTTATATGCCGAAAGTTCACTAAATATATAGAATAGACAACAGCGAAAATCCGATGTTTCTATCACTTTTCACTACCAAGTAATTCCCACTTCACTGAAGTTATGTGAGGTTTGATTGACAATTTGTCCCGTAACCACCTACTATGCCACGCCTTAACCCGGCTTGATAGAAAGTTTCTTTTTTTATCATAAGTGTTGTCTACTCACACGATGATCCCGTATAAATAGCAAAGACTAAGATTGCTGTATAAGTGAGAAAAGTAGAAAATACGAAGAAATGTCCCGTAACCGTTTTTTTCTCTGTTTCTTGTGTAACTTTAACATAACACGCGAATAAAGCCAAATTTCTAGTGTAGAGGTTTCGAAACACGTTGAATTTACTAAAGTACATAAATAGCATTTAGACCGATTAAAAAATGGTTTCCTAGAGAACTACAAACCTGTTTCTTCTCTTTCACTGTTATCGAAAAAACCCAGTGCTCTCGATTGTTTTTTAAATAAGTCTAGCACAAAAAGAGCTAGAGAGTTCGGATGTTCACCATTGGAAAGAGAAGACTTGAGTGCATCTTTTCTAAACAGAAAAGATTTCAAAAATCTCTTTCAAAAGCAGGCTTTTTAAGAGATCTTTGAAAAATCAAGCCATTGCTCAAGAACTTCAAGTATTACTATCCATTTCAAAATGTAGTGTGGGTGATTGCGACATGAATAATTCGAGAACAGAATGAGCTATCGAGATCGGATTTTCGCCACCGTGTAGCCAAGATCGAAACACGTAATGATGTGCAGAAATCAAAACTTTTGTGTTGATCTCTGGAGGATTTCTAAGTGGATCTCTGGAAAACCAGTTTATAGTTCCAAAGCTTTAAATAAGAATGTATCAATTTTTTTCATATATGGATAGTCAAAGGTGTTCTCTACAAAATTAGATCCAAGCGACATCTTGAAAATCCATGGTTCGAGAGCTACGGGCGTTTTCCTTGCAGCCTTAGGACTCCTCTACCGTTAGTTTTGAGACTGACAAAAATGAATGAAAACGTAGGTTACCGATTATGCTGAATCTCATGGCAATATTTGTTTTTCAAAACAGTTTCAAAAACCTAAAGGAAACGTACATTAGGTGAAATATCTCATTTTTGCCTATTTTTGAGTAAAATTCAAAAATTTATAAATTAGTCAAGATCAACCCAAGTTATGTCAGAATATCAAGATGTACTCTATTTTACCTGCTAAATACTATGCAGTTTACTAGAAGCTTTAAAAGTCGACAGAAAATACTCTGGTTTTTGAGAGGGTTTCCTAGAAATCTTCCGAAGTACAAGGGTTTTTTTGTTGCTTTTCTTACATGGGTAGATAAGGTGGACTTTCAAAAACTTCAGAATATAGATTATTTGGGTTATTTTATATTCTATTTATAAGAAATCTAAAAAAAATATTGGAAAAACTCTTGTATTTCGGAAAGCGTTTGTTATTTCGGAAAGGGTTCAATAACAAATAATTCGTCGGATATTTCAGGTAGTGGAATTGATATTGATAGTGTTCCAAATAATGCACAACAATTAATGATGAATAGTATAAGTCCGAAAGCGGAAAAAAGAGCGCTACATCGTTTAGTTGAAAACAAAGACAACATACTACGTGGCGTCAATCGAAGCTTACGTGGGGAATTTGGGATTAATATTTGTAAAAATGTCAAACCGTCAAATGAAGATAATTCATCCGAACTGAAACAGAATGTTGTTGAATTTATGAATTGTGATAATGTGCCCAAAGTTTGTCTGGATGTAAAGATGCATAAAGGTGTTCCAATTCGTTATCGACCTCATAATTTAAATGTTTTACATAAACAATTCCAAGCTGAAACTGGGACATCATGTTCATATTCTATGTTTTGCCAATACATACCGCCAAATATTAAAAAACCGAATGTGAACGACTGGAGGACATGTCTTTGCATGTTATGTCTTAATCCTCAAATGAAATTGGAGAAATTAATTCGAATGAACACGATCAATAATACTGATACAGATTTACATAACGTCATCAAAGATGATTTAAAATTTGAAGAGTTTTTGAAAAAAATAAAATTATTAGAAAAACAAAAAGTTACAATCACATAACAGGTTGGATGTAGAGCACCAGTATCAAAGAAGAAGACCTGTACAGATACGATGAAAATTTTTATTGTCAAGCTTGTTAAAGAAATTGATGTAAATTATGGAGATCGAAAGAGTTTCATTTCTTGTCTTTATTTCTTGGTCTGTTGATTGATAATCGTCTAGATAGACAAAAGTAGAATATGCACATTTCAAGGTTCATAAACAGGCTCTGAAAAAAGTGATAGAAAGGAATATTCTTTCTTATACTATTAGCACAAACATTTATGTTTTAGGTATTAAAAGATCATACAAATAAAAACAATTAAATCTCAATTTTCATGCATTTAAACAAGCTCGAATGAATGCAACAAATAATAATAATACAGCAACATTACAAATTGACTGGTCTAAAGTTATGCCTTAAAACAATCAAGAGAAGAAAAATCTACATATTATTACGAACAAAAGATTTCATTGGGAACAGGATATGTTTGGAGTCAAAAAGAATCATATAGATTCGGACGTTTATCTGATGACTGTAATCATATGGGTGAGGTGGCATGGGCATCTCTTCTACCATTATTAAAAACATTGGTGAATAGAAATGACATAAAATATTTGAATATTATTAGCGATAGTCCTCTCAGCCAATATAGAAACAAAACAATCATGTTTCTAGTAGCACAATTTGCAAAACAAAATAGAGTTGAAATAAAATGGATGTATCTAGAATCAGGACATGGAAAAGGAGCAGCAGATGATGTTGGAGCAGTCATTAAGCGCTCCATGAATGAAGCAGTCTCTTTTAACCCAGATGCGACATTTGCAAATGCAAAAGACTTGTTAGCCAACATAAAAAATCGTTTAAATATTAAATTATTTATTTATGCAACGGATGATATAGAAAAAGTGAACCAAACAAACGTCGCCAAAATTAAAATCAACTAAAGGAACTCTTGAACTTCATGAAATATCAGCTAATAGTGATGGGTTATTAACAGGAATAAAACTGTCGGATGATTCAAACATAGCAGTACGTATAAATTTATTTCGTTGAATCTTTGGTCAAAAAGATAATTTTTATGCACATTCAAAAAACCACAGTACAATAGTACAGCTCTTTATTTTATGTGGTATTTTCGGCTTTTTGTATCCATTTGTATTAGATAAGCAAATATTTCTAAAAATAAATATTGCCAAGAAACTGAGCATGGTCGACCACCCATAGCGCATCCGTCTGTAAGGAGCCAATAGTTACCGGGTGTCAGTCCTGGGACTCGTAGGAAATCTGATACAACGCCCGAACCGCGGAAAATCAAGGTCTTACTTTACTCCCATTTTGAAGAGGACATCCCTGGCTATCAGCCCATAAGAGAAAAGCAATGCAATCCTATTGGAAAATGTTTACAGATGGCATGGTTTTCTAAAGATCTCCCAGAAAACCTGTTTCAAAAAGCTGTTATGAACACAATTTTGGTTATGAAAACATGTCCCCAAGTCTCCTTTTTCGAATGACGAAAATCAGAGTTCTCTAGCTCTTTTCTATCAAAAGATATTCAAAACGCAACTAAGTGCAAGGCGTTTTGACGCCGATCATAGAAAAATGTTTTTCAAATCTGTAAAACAAAGTAATGGTAGTGTGCTAGCCCGTGTTTTGTGATACTCCTAGGTACACACTGTTGATATATGATAAGAAAAAACCTAGGTGTTCAGCTGTTGTCTGGGTCAAATTTTTTCACAAAAACGGTACTATTTTAATCAGAATCACTCATATATATCAAATTGTAGCTCGACAAATTTTGTATCAAATGGTAACTTATATTTATTGTAAAGAATATCTGACAGAATATCTGAGACTTTTTGCAAATAGGAGATCATTTTCTATAGCCTGCAGTATTTATAAACATACTTGGCCTCACAACAACTATTTCCGTATATTTGATATACAGAAATATAGTGAAGAAAAAGAGCTTGCAAATGATACATAATAGTCGTGCGGAATTGTGAAATGGAGAATATGTATCAGATACAGTAGAAACTTAATCAAATTTGATTCGCTCAATTTTTTTCTTAGTGGTTCTGAAATCTAGTAAGTACCTGGAAACCATCCCCCCTTCATTCTACATCTAGCCTCTGATTAGTCGATGAAATTCAGGCATGGGGCGATTTCATCAGATAATTGCCCCGTCTTTTTCGTTCGTTTGTTTGTCTTTACTACTTTTGTTTGTTTTTCGTATTAAATTGTTGAGACATTTTATAATCTACAAGGACACTATGATTTTGTTTACATTTGAATTTCGTTGATTTTTTTAAAAGCCTTAAACAGAAACTGTGACTACTGTATTTTTCAACAAAACTAGTACTATAAAATATCTTATGCTGCTGATTTTTAAAAATATAATGTGTTCTAAAAAATACGTAAGAGACTTATAGCTTTGAGGTTGAGTAATTTTCTTAAGACTTCTTTTATCTTATCAATAACATAAATATCAAGGTTTTTTAATCTTACTAAGATCGTATATTTCAAATACCCTTATATAGTTTTTATATGTACAGATGGATATACATAAGATAACAAGATGTATACTTTTTGCGTTTATGTCGAATGGAAAGAGAAACAGGACCTAATATACCAATTGATTGGCTAATTGGCCAATTGAAAAATGGATCAAGAGCATGGCTACAGTTCTACTCGTTTTTGACGAATTCATCAACCATTTTGGTTGTGAATATCTGAAATCTATTTTTCTACAGTTATTTTTACATGAAGAATCACAAAAGAACAGGTTTGGAAATAAAAAATAGGGTTAAAAATGGAAACTTGGTTCAGCTTTTAAGATTCACATTTCCTCATCTAACTCGATGCGCTCTATTCAATCTTGTCAAATGGTACAAAAAGAATCTCTCTGAACTTTTGAAGTTCCGGTGCCTTAAGTACTTCATACCTCCAACTTCAGTAGTAAATGATGTTATAATTGTTAGTGTCTATGAGAATATCCTCCTCTGTAGGATGTTGGTCTAGCACTCTGTCGATTAATACTCCTACCACTGCTACTGTGCGAAGCTTGAATTGCTTGGCGAACTGCTAATTTATAAATCTCCATCACAATCCATATGTACTCATTGTAACTGATAGCACCATCATGATTCAGATCGACGGCTTGTATCACACGTAGAATGTCCGCATCGCGAACTTTAAGACCGTGCTGATGACAAATCGATTTCAGTTCTGCCGGTGATATGAACCCGTTGTGGTTTCTGTCGACAGCACGAAATGCCGCCTGCAGTGCTTGCAGTTGATCGGGCCGAAGTTCCAGTGCAGCACCCTGAGAATGGCCATGATAAGACATTATTCTAACTACGTGCTACTACTGCAGAAAGAAGGTATACTTGAATAATAATAATAATAATATTCTCTCTTCCTGACACGTACTATACTATGCAGAACTAATTTACAACAGCGTTTCGCTTGGCAAGTCATGCATAACTATCAGTACCTATTAGTCTCTCATATTGCTCAAGGTGGACTTTGACTCTGGGATTTTTCAACTTTTGTTTGTTCTGGCCCGAAGCTATATATGGTTTGGAAAAGAAGAGTGTGAGCTCTTTCTGACCAGATATTTGTTGTTCGGGTTAATATTGTTTTTCGTCTCAGGCGAACATTAGCCTTTTGTAAATTGCAAAGATAAAGTAATTAGTCATTATTTGTAACCACCTGGGCTCGATCGACTATCTCAGGCTGCTTCTGTGCAAGAAGATATTGTAGACTGAACATTTTAATGTACTTTGGAAGAACCGCAAGTCTGACGAAAATATGCAAGTTTTATAGAAAGGCCCAAAAATCGAAATTTTGAACGAGTATCAAATGGTCAACTTTGTCCGCGTATAACTTGGCGACGACCTGTGGTGAGAATTGAATGTTACCATAAATACTTGACAGTGTTCACTACACGTTGAAGCAAGCCTCTCGAATGGGATTTTGATGATATCACAATTAAACTGTTAAGTGTGATCATTAATTCTAATAGTGTTCATGACTTCGTTTGTACACACTGCCATGACGATCCGAAAGATTCTGGACAGATTTATGCACAGTAAGAGTGGCTGATATATAGCAGAACGGTTCTGATTTGCGAATGTAAGTGATTGCTTTAACTACAATGAAAGCTGGTGTATGACATTAATGAAAAGTATTCACTATGCAAATGAGAACTTTGAAGATCTAAGAAGCTTTTGGCAGTGGGATTCGCAGCGGTTTGAGAACGACGAATATTTGTACACATCTATAAGTTTTGCTACTATATGATAGTACAAAAAAACGGCACTGTAAGACAGCTGCTGCTGTGGTTGTCTAGTATTTTGTTAATGAAAAAAGAATTTTGCAGAATTTCTTAGTTATTTTTTTAAAGATTCTTTTAATTTTCATACGACCTCCTAAGCTTAATACTAATTGATCCCTTCTTATAAAGAAGGGATCAATTAGTTCTTACGTTGGTTTAATTCTTATTAAGAAAGCAAACTTTATCAATCGTTTAGGCATATTTTTGTAGCCATTTAAAAGCACTATTTGCTGATTATAATTGATCGTGATCGAAGCTAATTCAAGTGCTAAAATCGCGAAATTCATACCATACACTTTGTTATGCAAAATAGCTAAGGGTCCCTCACCCTGTATACCTATATATTTAGAGATTTGACTCTTGAAAGATATACTGAACAGTTACCATTACTGGTAACTGGTCGTTACCATTACTTGTACGGTAACTGCTTACACGTTACCGTTACAAAGAACGGTAACCGACCAGCAGTTACAGTTACTGTAACGATAATGGTAACTGTCACAGCCCTAGTTTCGTCGTTGAGTTATTGAATTTTTATTATTTAGATTTCTTATCGAAGAGTTGAAAATAGCAAAGATCATTTTTTTCTAGCACAGATTTCATTTTTAATAAATCTTTTTAGTATCTGCTTATGGTGGCATATTTTCAGAAATATAAACAGTTCTACTTAGCAGCCTTTTTTCGGTTCTTTCTATTGCAAAAAGAATCAGATTAAAAACTGAATTCTAAAGCAATAGAAAGACCATTACAAAACCGAGTAAGTCTTTTTTTACCACCATGTAAATCGAAAGAGAACCCTGTTTTCTTCGTGTTAATCAGTTGTTTAGAGGTCACACTATACCGATAGCCGGTTCAAGATAGAGTAGCCGTGTTTTTCTTAACCAGACTATCATTTGTTTTATTGTCGGAAGAATCAAAGGAATTATATCAGGCCTAGATCGTCAGTATATAACTGATTATGCAAAGAGCTCTCATTGATTTCTCATTGATTGAACAAAACTTCCGGAAAGCATCCTGGGGTCTCTTCTTTCCCTCAGCTTCCTATAATGATCTGAGCGATGAGTTACTATCAACTATTTGTTTGTTTGTCGATGTTACAGTGTTGTACATGAAGCGTAATGATCAAAATCAATCAAAAATAACAATACAACAGCATACAACTGCTGTTGTATCGTTAGTTTTGATTAAAATTTTACTCTGGAAAAACGAAAATGATCAAAATCAACTTGTTATGGATATCAATTGTGATTTAGGACGTGTATTAAACTATTCTAGAACCGCAATGGACGCTCTGCACTGTATATCAGCTGTTAACCTTCTGGGCAGGGTTGGGCGAGTCCGAGTCTCGAGTCCATTTCGAGTCTGGTAGTCTTTCAGATTCTTTTTCGACGATTGCGGTATCTTTTTCTTTTTTTTCTATATCAATTAATACATCAATCTTGTTGAAACAAAAACGTTATAGAAAACTAAACTTCTATTACATTTTAATAATGTCAGTTGAAATAGACCGTTTTTTCGTAGAACGTACTCTTTCGTATCTAATCCAAAATCCTAATTGAGAAAAAATACGCTCAATGGGTGCGAATATTGCGGAAGCACATAAAAGTTTTCTAGCTAGTTTACTGGAACCTGGTTAGATAGATATTCGATTTAAATAATAATAATAATTACTTTGCATGCGGGTCCTTCCACACAGGTCCGCCCACTATTACATTCACTATTAGCCGCGAAAATTTTACTTTGTCAATAGTGTAGAACATCAAAAATAACCTAAAGGTCTCGCTTACTCTTTTTTGAAAAAATGTGGTTTTCTAGACACCTCAAATTTTTGGCGAGGGTGAAACCGAAGTCGGTGCAAATGAACGAAAACATTGCATAATTATACATTAAGTTCTAGCTCTTGACGAGTTGATTCGAATGGTGAAGGAATTCGGTCTCGATCTTACTTTACATTCGAGTGATACTCAATTTACTTGAAAAATTCCTGAAGTTTGCTCCTAAACGCTCCGACAGTTTTTCGAGCTTTTTCTGGAGTAGGAACTACTTAGTAGTATCTGTAACTTTGCCCATACAACTATCCTCGACACTTTCCATTTTTCACCCTCAATTTTCCAGAAAATCCGTTAAAATCTTACGTCATGAAAAGAAAATTGAGCTATTATGACTCTATATTCCTGTTCAGCATGAAGAATTCAACGTAATTCAACGTTTTCTGAAGCTTCTGTGTGTTCCCGTATCACAGTTTTTCCAAGAGGATTTCTGGAAAACTGAGGGTGAAAAATGGAAAGTGTCGAGGATGGTTGTATGGGCAAAATTATAGATACTACTAAGTAGTTCCTACTCCAGAAAAAGCTCGAAAAACTGTCGGAGCGTTTAGGAGAAAATCGAGGTCAAACTTCAAGAATTTTTCAAGTAAATTGAGTATCACTCGAATGTAAAGTAAGATCGAGACCGAATTCCTTCACCATTCGAATCAACTCGTCAAGAGCTAGAACTTGATGTATAATTATGCAATGTTTCGTGTAATGTTCACCTTGGGGTGTCTGGAAAACTACGTTTTTTCAAAAAAGCGTAAGCGAGACCTTTAGGTTATTTCTGATGTTCTACACTATTGACAAAGTAAAATTTTCGCGGCTAATAGTGAATGTAATAGTGGGCGGACCTGTGTGGAAGGACCCGCATGCAAAGTAATTATTTTCGAAAAACACATGAACGTAAAAATACCAAATAATAATATTTCGTTTGCAAACCCATGTGCGCGCATCATTATTGATAGATTAATCAACAATAGCGCAGACAAACACTATTGATGAGCAATATAGTTTAAGTCACTAAAGGGATGGCGTATGCGTAAAAGTTTGTAGTGGAATAGATGATCATGATACACGCAAATAAAGAAAAAGATGTAATACAAACGCCACCTTTAGTTAAACCCCAATGTCAATATTTTCTCACCTGGATATACCAAGAAAAAGGACTAATCTGGTATTTCAACTAGTATCCAAAAATTGAAATATATATAGCTAATTATGCACATTATAATAGGATTATGTCACATATGACCTTTGGAAATTTATTCGAATTATGCAGTGAAACACTTTAAACTTAGAACAAAAGAAAATAATTGATTATCACATGTTTCATTTTATCTAACACAGCTTAATTTGGATGATAAACTTATTAATCTTTCTTCATTTCGTCAGTAGTACTCAACTTATGATTCATACAAGAGGCTTTTTATCTGGTAAGAACCCATCAGATATAAACCGTTCTTTTCAAAATAAATCAGTTTCTTTCTGTTTCTGTATTGGAAGATTTTCCGATCATCTGGAATAATTTCACAAAAGATAGTCAGCTATCGCATGCATCTTATTCATTAACTGTTCTGAATAGTGTAACTGGCGATATCCTGTTTGAACAGAATAAAGATGTTGGACTTTCACCAGCATCCACCCTGAAAACCATAACAGCGGCCGCTGCGCTACATTACCTTGGAAAAGATTTTATTTATCGGACATTATTACAATATTCCGGTAATCTAGATGATCACGGCTTTTTAGATGGTTACATTTATATTGTTGGTAAATAGAAGTTGCTTTTAACATTTTCAATTTGTCTTATTTCAAAAAGATTGATTTAAGGTAGTGGTGATCCAACCCTAGGAAGCTGGCGATTTGATCAAACAAAACCCGATTTAATTATTCAGAGCTGGTTAGAGGTTATTCAGCATGAAGGTATTAAACACTGTCGTGGTATTGTTGCTGATATTAGTTTGTGGAACAGCACCCAGTGGATGATTGATGGCTACACATGGCACGATATAGGGTAAGAAAAAGGCTTTATTCATTCTTTCAAAATCTTATAAAAAAAGTTGTCAATTATTTGTGTTAGGTTTAAGTTCTTTTTCTGCTATATTTAACATTGAAAGACAAACAAAATTCTGTTTGAGTTTTATTAAGGCAGTATTATGGTACTGGTCATAACGCAGTAAACTGGCGAGAAAATGAGTTCATCATTTATATACAACCCGGTAAAAATGTTAATGACAAGGCATCGATCGTTCGTTTGGAAAAACCACCACCATCGATAACATTCATTAATGAGTTGACAACAAGTGCAGCAAATAGCAGTGGCGATGAAGATGCCTCTCTTTATTTACCACCTCATGGAAATATCGGCTATTTTCGTGGTAGAGTTGCTCTTGACGTGCCGCATAATTTTTCAATACGCGGTTCTATACCGGATGCCGCCTTATATGTGACAAATGAACTAAAACAGGCCATGCAGGAGCGAAATATTACTGTAGATGAACCATGCACAATAATTACTAGTACTCAGGAACACTTAACAGACCGTAAGACAATACATACACATCAGTCTCCTACATTAGATAAGATTATTTTTTGGTTTCAACAACATAGTATCAACATGTACGGTGAATTATTAATTAAAAAAATTGCAGAACTCAAGCATGTGTTCTGTAAGCGATGCTCGCAAATACATTATACCTGAATACTGTTTGTTGCATGATATAGAAACAACATCTGTAGCTACAACGGATGGCTCAGGATTATCACGAGACAATCGTATAACAACATTTGCAATAGCCAGAGTACTTTTTAGTATACAAAAAGAAGATTGGTTCAATGAATTTTATAATTCATTACCAATTATAAACAACATACATATGAAAAGTAGCACTCTAAATAATGTTATATCCTATGCTGGATATATTCAAAAGCAACAGAATGATGGTTGTGCTGAAATACATAACTATGTGTTCTCATTTATTTTGAATAATTATAATAGTGCATCGGCAGTTATGAAAAGCAAAGTGTGGGCACTTCTGAGCAATTTGAAATAGATCTGTTACTGTCTGTATTGAACTCAGACATAATCTGTAAAATATAATCGTTGGCCATTAGTAAATGATATTAGACAAATATTTGTATACAAAATATAATGACAACGGCAAAATATTTACAGTACCTTATGTAGTGTTCATAAATTTAACCCTTTAAGGCCGGCTGCATAAGCCATTTAGTAACACTATCCCCTTCTGTGCATATTCCTTTTCTGTCGGATGCCAAAAATTAACTAATAAAAATATTCCTCCCTTTATATTTATTGTTTTGCTGTGACAGGATCAGCAAAGTGTAGTCTTTTAGAACGAAATTTCTCCGACAC